CGATATGCTCAGTCTTTGATATGATTTAAAACAAGTTCCTCGTCATAATTCGCTTCCGATAGCGAAGAAAAGTGACAGAGGTTATTGAAAACAACGAAAAAATTTCGATTGACAAATTAGTCGGTGTTCTCGACACAGCAATTATAGGACTTGAACAGCGGAACTTTGTAACTGAACAAGAAATTATGTCTGTTTAATAGAATTAAAGAGAAAGTATTATCACATGAAACGAAGCAAAACTTAAACAACTTACATTGAAAGAAATGTTTAATAAAGTAAACAAATAAATATTAAGCTTTTTCTTTTTGCAAATTTTGATACCCTTTAGATCATAATTGTTCTTTATTTCATAAATTACGGTTTCATATTTTTAATTTTAGAATTTCTGCATGCCATCTTACGAGATTTAAACTGATGATGTATAATCCGGAAAAATCGATAATCCGGAATCGCCGAAGTCCCGACGAGTCCGGATTAACGACTTTTGACTGTACTTTGATATACATATCCCCAAAGCCAATCGGCAAACTTTTATGTTTTCAAGTAGTACCATGATTAATTTGCCTTTCAGAACAGCCAGTGCACACTTAAGCGGATGGACTGAAGTTTTCTTATGACATACCTGGAAAAGTCTGAATTTCATTCTCCTGTTTGAATGGCAATTCTGAAAATACTGCTGATTTTAAAATATATTAATAATACTGTATTTATATGTAATTGGAGAATTTTTTTGTTTTCAAGTGGTATTGCACACACTGGCCAATGAATTAGATTTTCATTTTGAATGCTTGCTAGGGATGAAATACGTTAATTTTTTTATGATGTGGGTTACATGGAGATAAAATGCTAGTATAAGTAAGGTGTAAGAGTGCTTTCCACAATGAAGTAAAATGGGGAAAATGAATGATCTTTCACCATTTGAAAAGATCTTGTTGTTGGTGCCTGTTTAACAGGGGCCTCTATTTGTAAAATCTTACTGGGTTCTCAAAAGCAGCCATATGAAAGGTTTTTTAAAGTTAGAATCAGAACCCATAGTCCTTCTCTAAAAGATGTAAATGTGTTAGAAGCACAGTTTTCCAAGAGTGATCGTTGGCATCTCCGATGAATTGTACGGCAGAACAAGAACTCTGTTCAGCTCACGCAATTCGTCAACCAAGGCTCTTCCCAAAGATTTTAGCTCAAACCATATGCAGTGAATTGCAAAGAATAGGAATGCATAGTCTATCTCGGAGAAAACCACTAATTTCTGGGTGACATGCAAGAATTCATTTGGAGTGGTGTCGGAAAAGAAGCCTCTGAACAATATGAGGATTGGAAACTGGTAATGTGATCAGATGAATCGCGTTACACCTGATTTTGCACTGATAGAAGACATTGAATTTGGTGGTGACCTTATAAATCCATCTTACCTTATTTGTACTGTACAAGGGTCTGGTGGGAGTATCATGATATTCATATTCTGCTGGCATGGGAATCGTGTCCTGTTGTCCCTCGAGGGTAAACAAACAGCCTGGCGAATGATACTTTGTGGATGATAACATAATTATACATCGTGCCAGATGTGTTGAAAATTCATGAATGACTTCCAACACTTGCTATTGCATAACCCAGATCTTAACCTCATAGAAAATGTGTGGGGTATGGTGGAAAGATGCATCTGACAGCACCTTCCTCTTCCATCTAATTTACAAGATCTAAAAAGTTGCATAAGTAATGCATGGTATTCTCTGGACGTAAGTAGACGCATGTAGACTCAATGTCCAAATGAATCAGCAGTTACCTGTGCAAAAAGTGGTACAGTCAAAAGTCGTTAATTCGGACACCCGTAATCCGGAATGATCTATAATCCGGACCTCAAAGCTACAACCTTTCTGCGCATGCGCCGCGTTGACGCATGCGCGTAAGACGCTTTACCTTTTACGACTGCGATATGAGTTGCGCAAGTGCAGCAAATACGTTTTCGCGTGCGCGTTTTATGTATAATGGACGGGATAAGCTAAGCTAAAATTATCTAATTATCTATTTCAGTTAATGTTGATGATTGCGTTGTTCCTTAATTTTCGAATTGGATCCGGCTTATTATTTTTTGCAGACTGTAAGCAATTTTATAAAAGTAAGCTTGAAACTTTCGATTATATCAAATAGAATTTCCGATATATATTTGTTAATATGTAAAGGATCTACAAAGCGAAAAGTATCTTTCGGAGTCCATTACCAAAAAGTGGAATTGCTGCAAAAAATGGATAAAGGCATATATTTTGTTTATCTAAACTTTAACGCTTGTTTATCTAAACTTTGTTTATCTTTAACGCCGCGTGCAATGAATTCACTATCCTTATCTTCAAGGGCAGATGTTTTTATTTTATTTGGCTTATAATTGTTTACCAAATGTAGTATTTCATCTCGATGTACTCCATCTTTGATATGATTTAAAACAAGTTCCTCGTCATTATAATTCGCTTCCGATAGCGAAGAAAGTGACAGAGGTTATTGAAAACGAAAAAATTTCGATTGACAAATTAGTCGGTATTCTCGACACAGCAATTATAGGACTTGAACAGCGGAACTTTGTAACTGAACAAGAAATTATGTCTGTTTAATAGAATTAAAGAGAAAGTATTATCACATAAAAAAGCAATCAACTTAAACAACTTACATTGAAAGAAATGTTTAATAAAGTAAACAAATAAATATTAAGCTTTTTTTTTTTTTTGTAAATTTTGATACCCTTTAGATCATAATTGTTCTTTATTTCATAAATTACGGTTTCATATTTTTAATTTTAATTTCTAATTTCTGCATGCCATTTTACCAGATTTAAACTGATGATCTATAATCCGGAAAAATCGATAATCCGGAATCGCCGAAGTCCCGACGAGTCCGGATTAACGACTTTTGACTGTACAATAAAATATTGATCTTGGGTTTCTAATTCATTGACTAGTGTGTATAATGAATTTTATCCTCAGCACAGCCAATGCGCACTGAAACGCACCTGGAAAAGTCGGAAAATTTCATTCTCTTGTTTAAGTGGCAATCCTGAAAATATTAGACTAAAAATTTAATAGCTTTATTTAAAATACCTTTAAATTCTTCCCGTTCAGTTGAAAGTTAACATGTGGGTTATTTTTGAAATTTTTATGTGTTTATTTTCCTTCATGACTTAAAATTTTGGGTACATTTGAGCAAAATGGGTTTTTACAATGGCAGGGTGAGATCTTTAATAAAAAAAGATGGTTTCATATTTTGATTAAATAACAGTACACCTCAAGCAGCACATTGAGGTTGAGTCCAGGAAAACCAAATGATAAATAACTTTCATTATATCTTCTATTGACAATTTTTCTCTTTTCAATACTTTTAGTGCTAGTAGATTGTCCTGTATCCATCACCTGTAAATCATTATTTTTCCATTGGGTCCTAGCCATTTGTCCTCAAATATTTAAATGCACAATACAGTCAAAAGTCGTTAATCTGGACCTCAAAGCTACAAACTTTCTGCACATGCATAAACGCATGTGCTTAATATGGGTACACATGCGCGTTTAATGTATAACTGACGGTATAAGCTAAGCTAAAAATATCTAATTATCTATTTCAGCTAATGTTGCGGATTGCGTTGTTCCTTAATCTTCAAATTGGATCCGGCTTATTATTTTTTGCAGACTGTTAGAGGAATTTTATAAAAGTAAGCTTGAACTGTCAAAAAGAATTTCCGATTCTGGAGCTGCCAAAATGATATCTACAAAGCGAAAGCATGTTTCGATGTCCATCAAACAAAAAGTGGAATTGCTGCAAAAAAAAAAATGGATAAAGGCATATCCTTTGTTTCTCTAACTGTTCCGAAATCTGTTTACCAATTTCACGCTGCTCTGCAGGAAGGGGAACGTCACGTGTGCGCAATGAACTGGAAGTTGATCTGTCAGCATTATCCTCATGTTATTTATTTTATTCGGATTATAATTCTTTACTAAATGTAGTATTTCATCTCAATGTACTCTGTCTTTGATACGATTTAAATCAAATTCCTCGCCATTATAAATATCACGAATACACATCAAAGTTTTGTTGTTGCAGTTTTCTAATTTTGACTATGCGTAATGTATTCTGTACGCATGCACGCGTTACAAGAAATGTTTAATAAAGTAAACAAATATTAAGCTTTTTTGTAAATTTTGATACCCTTTAGATCATAATTGCTCTTTATTTCATAAATTACAGTTTTATATTTTTAATTTTATAATGTCTGCATGCCATCTGACCAGATTTAAACTAATTATCTATAATCCGGAATCGCTGAAGTCCCGACAAGTCCGGATTAAAGACTTTTGACTGTATATTAAAAGTTCTTCAAAAATAATGGTATTCTCATGTCGCTTAGAAACATAAGGAGTACAAAGCAATAAGAGGACAAAATACCTGTTGTTAAAGACAGCAAATAAATGTAAAAAAAAAAATTCTAATTGAAAATAAAGCATTGTGAGCCTTAATATGGTGGCAATGTAAAGTTTAGGCATGAATAATAAATCTATGAACTCTAAAAGAGTTAATGAGATACTATTATCTTTTGATAGGAACATTTTTTCCAATTAAATACATCTATTTCTTTTATTCCTTTAAAAACATTTATGACAAATTTTGTTGTACCTATGGCTCAAGAATATTTGTGAAAATAAAAACATTATTCTGCTGATGTCTGTGAGCAGATATTTACATATAACAAATCTCGGATTGCATAATTTATGGGTGTTGGAGAGAAAATTTGAAACTCTATGTTGGGGTATTAAATAGATAAAAGTACTTTGCTTCTTTGTCTACCACCTATTTTTCTCTTGCGTATCACCACCGGTCTTGAATCGTTGTTTTATAACATTGTGATATATTTGTTTTCTGATGATTAAAATCTAGATAATTCAGCTGAATTTCATTAAAATGCTTGTATTTATTTCCTGATGTGAAGTTGTCATTATCATGCTAATTGCATTATTTTTCTCTTTTAGACCTTTTAATTGGACAGCTGTGGGATCTCTTGTGAGCTTATTTCATTTCTTCTGGTGAACATTGCTGAATTTATCACGAGGCATAGTCTGCCACTATTTATTTTTATGCTATTTATTTACACAGATATATTATTAGGCACTAGATAATTCTCTTAAATATTTGCAAATTAAGTCTTGTGCCTTGACTGAATGTTCATATTTTCTCCCTATTTCTGACTTTTTTTGTGTGTGTGGCTAAGAGAGGTGCCAATTAGAATATTTTAATAAGTTTTTGGCCTCTTTCGAAAAGTTGTTAAAAAAGAAACTATTTTGTTTTGCCTAGTGATATTTATTGGTCCATCTTTTAATCTGTAACAATTAGAAGTGTTAAATTTTCATGAGACTTTTCACAGCTGTGTAAATATTCTGTACAGTGGGACTTTTTTGTGTTACTGGTGTCATACTTGTAAATATACACCCGAGTTAAAATGTTGATGATTTCATCAGCACTGTTTCATGCAAACACTGCGTTGACGTTTTGAAGAACAGTTGTTTTCTTCAAAAGCTATGCTCATCTGGAAAGCTGGCCCTCTTCACTAGTCTTGTTGGCTAATCGTTCTCGTATCAGATAGCCAAGTCTACCTATTTAATAAAGAACTGTGCTGATACATTCAATTTTTTGTGGTGCTTCTGCTCTCCAGATGTGCATTGCTGTTATTTGTAGGTTTTCTACACCTATTTTTGTAATCTAAAATTTGACCTGAATAGGTATTTCTCTGGATGTTTTCTTTTTTCTGTACAAGGCAGCATTTTTTACTTCAGAATGTTCACGTTGTTTTATTGTGAAAATCTGAGGTTTTAAGTGAACATGACAAATTATCTTAAACTTTAATTAATGGGAGACTTATTCCCTAATGTTTTTTATCCAGAGAAATATCTTTCAGCTTTAGTGTACATATTATATATATTATATATTTGAGAAGTGGCAAGTGATCTTTAAGTCCACTCCCAATAATGGATCACAGCTGATGTGGAACTTGACAGACAGTGAAATTTCAATGTGGTGGAACACATAGGAACTCTATCAGATTACAGTGGAGACCTAGAGTGCCAATGAGTATTAAATCTCAAACTGATTTGCCACAATGTGAAAGCAGTGCACAATAACCTGTCTGTAAGGTTCTGCTCTCAATGGTGGTAGAGCAGAAAGTAAAAAAGGTACTTAAATAGTATCTCAAATGACCAACCTACTGCCCAAGAACTTTGTGCTGCAAACTTTGCCCTTTTAAAACCTCAGATTTTCAATCTAAAATTAAAGATCAAAGACATACATCAAGTTAAAAATCTTTTGTTTATTTTTTCCTCAAATAACTTGGCTTGTGTCCTTGATCTTAATCTGAGTAAAACCCATCCATGCAAAAGCATCTGCATTCCTTTAGATTGAAGTTTGAAATTTAAAAATTTAAATCTTGTGTCTTAAATTTTCCTTTTGCATGGGATGGTTGGGTTGACGAAAGCCATGGTTTGATCCCCTGTTGGCTTGCTCAGTGTTTTACTCTGATGTAGCATGGCTAATTTAATGCTATTAAGAAGGCTGTAAGAAGTGGATCACTAAATTAACAGAAAACGCAATCCTAAATTTAACTTCTGGCTCAATACTTAAGTGCAATCTCTGTAATCAGAGCATTTTTCTGAAATTCAAATCTATTGTTTTCTGAAATAAAACCTTATTCCAATTGGCTATGTTTTTGTTTTATTGCTTTTGCATTTTATACTATGAAAGATTTATTTAAGATCATTCTTTAATAACTTAACGGTTTCAAGTATTTTTATTTATAATTTTAAACAAAGCTCGTAATTACACTGATGTTAAACCAAACTCGCTTTCATCTGCTTGTAAACATATTCATCATACTTATGCATATAAGACATGCAGTGTTAAAAATTTCATTACATGTTCTCTAAAATCTATAGTCTTCATTTGTTAAAACAAAGTAGTTTTAATTTCTTAAGAATCCTACAACTTAAATACACTCTTTGCAATAAAATCTAGGCACCATGAAGGAAATGGTTGTTTTTGATGGAATTGAATGTGTGCGTAGCTCATACACAGATAATAAAATGATTAAAAAATCAAGGTCATATTCATAACTCGCAATCACCCACTAAGTGTTCAAATTAGTAGTTGGTCGAACCACCCCTGGTGGCAGTGCATGCTTGAATTCATCGAAGCAAGGAGTCGTAGAGGTTCCTAATGTCATCCTGCTACACATTTTGCGATTCATTTATCAGTTGTTGCTCCAGATCTGTGATATTTTGTGGTGCCCGAATCTGCCGGCCTACCATCTCCCAGACATGCTCGATTGGTGAAAGGTCTAGTGACCTTGCTGGCCAAAGAAGAGTATTAACCTCGCAGAGACAGTCCAGAGATATGCAAGCGGTAAGTGGCCTGGCATTATATTGTTGGAAAGTGGCCCCGGTATGACGTGCCATGAAGGGTAATGCAACCGGCTGCAGGATGGTATTAATATGTCGTTGAGCTGTTAATTATGTACGGAGGATGACCTGCTGTCAAACATGGTGGTCATCTGCTTCAAGAGTGAAGCAAGATTCATCGCTGAACACTATGTGATGCTAGTCCTCTGTGAGTATAAATAATCCTGCCTCAGACAAGTGCCGTGAGATGGTGGACGGTACAACGTGAAGGCTGTAGTGTGTTGAATAGTCAACAATGATACTGTTAGAGGGAAGTTCAGGCCTGGCTAAAAATCATTTTATCTTGGCTCACATTTGTGCTCCTTGGCCTTCCAGAGCCTTCATTTTGTCGGCAATTTCCTTGTAGCAACCATTGCTGCCAACATCTTTATGCTGCAGGTGGCAGCCTGATGCTCAATATGACTATCCAGCTTCACGCAACCATGCAATGGGACAACGTTCGAAGTCGTTTAGTCATCTGTAAGGTCTTCGATATCGTCGTAATGACATCTTTAGTTGCTTCTTTATGGAATTACAATGGGAGCAACCAAAAAAAAAAGATAAATTTTCTGCCTCTGTTACTGGTTTTATGCTTTGCAAATTACGCGCTAGGGTTGCAATTCCTGTTTATTTGTTTTGAAATTTTGATCATTTGCATGTTCGATGAAGGTGTTTTTGCATAACAAATTTCGTGATGATCGCAAAAGTCCTTCTTGGTGCTTCGATTTTTATGCAAAAGAGTATATTATTCCAAATTTTATATGTATATGCTATATCAAATTACAACTTGTAAGATTCTGGAATTATTGTGGTTATGAATTAAATCAAATTGAGCATTCAGTAAATATTTCAAAGGAAACTTAGATCTCCTAGTTTTGAACCAAACAAAGTAAACCCGTTTTCGAGTGTGGAACAAATAGAAAGTTGTGTTAGTTTCTAAATAATTTGTTTCATTAGTGAGACTTGTATAAATTTTAGATTGTTGTAGCTGCTTTTGATAAAGTGCGTAAAGCTTCACAGTACTCATTTGGAAACTAATTCTAGCCTAGAATTGCTAGATTAAGTCCCAAAAATAAATCTGGCAATCATAAAATGGGAATTGTCAATAAAGAATAATGCTCTTTAAAAAGATTGTATTGCTTTCGCTGTTAAAGTATATTTGTCAAAAGCCTTATCCAAAAATCCTGAATTTTCTTAAATCCAAATCCTTAAGATTACTGAATCCTTCATTTAAGGCTTAATCAAGTCATAAGTTTTATTAAAGCAAATTTTGAAATCTGTGTAAACATGTTTTTAATCACACTTAAAAGGATGAATTATTTCAAAAGGTTTAATTCCCATGAAACGCTCTTTATTCTTTCAAAGAAATAAAAGTAATTTGTAAAGTGCAAATGCTATTACTATAGGAATTATCACTTGGTCTGAGGTAGCTGCAAATGCAGCTTTGTTGAGCACCAAGATCTCATTCAAAACTTAACAGAAGTGATAATCACAGTCTTTTAACAAAGATTCCTTCTGTTCCAGAGTTCTAACCGTGTGTAATGGGAATACAAGCCAGTTTCCCTTAACCCTTTGAAGGGCACCGGTATATAAAATATGCTGGTTGTTTGTCGGTTTTTTAACCTCCTAAGAAGTGCTAATTTTTCTATGTCAAAAGCTAAAATCGGTTTCTAGTGTTTCCTTTCGGTTTTTAATGGTGGCAGCACCCCTATGAATGCTCAATATTTTGCAATTGTGAAAATATACCTTGTTCCAAGGTGTGTTTGAAGATTCATAAATTCTATTGAAAAGGAAGAAAAAATTCAAAATCTGTAAATGTGTTATGTACATGTAGAAGCTTATATATTTACTTCATTTCTGTCAGAAGTGGTAATTAACAAATTATAAGATTTTAAACAGGCATCCATATTAAGGGTACTACACCAATAGATGACAGCACCAGTCTTCTTCAGCAAGATGACAGAATTTCTTTTATTATACCATAAACTGTTATAATATATTTTTTGATTAATTTAAAAGTTTAGGATTCAACATTACGTTCATGAAGGATGCTGATTTTACTGACCCTGCACTAGGACTGAATGCAAGTATATTGGTTTCTTTTTATTCTTTCTTTACTCCACTTGAGTTTTGTTCGTTTCTGTTTAGCTAAAATTTTAATTTCAGCACTTGTCTTTTCCTAAAAGAAAGACTCATCTATTTCAAAATTGTCGTTTGGGGTCAAAACTTTACACAATTGTAGAGGTTAAATGTGACATGTTGACACCCGTTGCTTCGTATGTTTCGAAATCCTAGAATGTGGCCAAAATGAAGAGGTCATTCACGAATTTGTCATTCAGAGGTCGCACCTTCTTCCCTTTGTGTTTAAGCTCACTTAAAAACACAGGAAATGTACTTAAATACATTATTCAATCAATTATCTCTTTCGAATATTGCTGATTTGAGAGCATGCTTTCATTCTTTAGGGTATCGTCTTTGTTAATTTGGGATGAAAGATTACTGAATGCAAGGGAAATTTGCCTCCTGGGTTAGGATACAAATAGGTTTTTGAAATATATTTTCACAGTTGGTGAAAGGAGGAAATAGTTCTAGGCCCGTTTTTAGATGCAAACCAAAATTTATCCAAAAGTTGAATAGGAGGCCAAAGGGGTCGAAAATTGAAGTAAGAGCTTTGAGGTGTATCAAATAAATTAGTTTAATGGTGTTTCTTCATGAACAAAAAGACTTATTACAACCTATATTTACAAAAAATAAAGGGGTACTTGCAGTCCTCGATAATCTCAAGTGGGTCAATTCTTGGTATCATAGCATAAAGCATGGTTTTTTTACATATCTAAAGCGTGAACTATTAACTTCAAACATGCTTTCTCAGCTGAGGCATAGTATTTTATTTTTCTATTTTTGACTTTTCGGCTGAGTTACATCTCCTTGTAATATTATACTAGTTAAATTACAGCATGATATGGTTTACGCATGCTGTGTTATATTTGCTAATTTTTTTTTACGAAATAATATTGAATTTAAATCAAGCTCAAAAGCTTTTTACCTATATTTTACATAAGTATGTTCAGCTGGATTGCATTATCAGTGTGCATAGAAACAAACTTTATTTTTTAAATTTAAAATTTCTAGCAAAATGTTAAAAGTTGGTCTTCAGACTTGCATAACTATAAACAAGCACCCAGCTGTACAGATGCACATTAAAAGTATGCAAAATTAATTTTAAAAATGAAAACAATTGGCAGCTAGCAAGGAAAAAATTGTCTTGGAGGGGCACTGGTATAAAATATATGCTGGCTCTCAAAATTCAGTATTTCTCTCTAGATTTTTTTTTTAGTCTCAATTTTGTCTCCTTAGTGTCCATAAGTTATAACTCATGCAAAATTTTACATAAATTATTTTATATACCGCCTCTCAAAGGGTTGAGTCTTCAACAAAGGCAGATAGCTGTTGTGTTTTCCATAGCCTAGCCTCAAAATTTTTGTTAGACTTTTTTTTTTTTTTTTTTCTAGCAAAAAGTGCCAAAATTTAAGAATAGATGTGTCTTACCTACTTCTATGCTTTCACTTTTCACAGTCTTTAAAATTAGAAGAAAATTAACCTAAATTTGACATCAGTTATGCTGAGAAACATTTTGCATATAGAAGCTAAAATACTAAATCCTCTTGTAATCAATTCAGGGGACTGAGAGTTGTTTATTTGAATTTGATAAGGGAAATAAAAATATTAACATTGTTGCACTAGCTAATCTTAAAAATTAAGGTTTAATTAGAATTACGTGCAATTAAACCTTTGCTGTTTTCAGTTTCACCATACATTTGATATTGCCTAAGAATTTTTTTGCATTAAATTATGGTTCTGATCCTTCCCTCAAAATGGGCATACCTCTTGAAGTACAAAACTTTTTCATTTTATGGATGAAACAATATATAAACTCTTTTTTTTATCTAGACATTAAATAAATTTTCTGCTGACTAAAAGGAAAAGTTTATCCATAATTTTGTCCAAAACATTTATCCCATCGCTTTAGATTCTTCACTTTTTAGGAATAGAACATTTCGCAGCTTGGGCATATGCTTTTCATATTTTAAATTTCAACATCAAGAAAATCAAGTTTCTTTCACAGTGTCTTATATCACATACTTTTGGATCTTCGCCTATTGCAGCATCATATGTTTCAAAAACTCAAATGCGACATTTTGAAAATATGGAAATGTCATTTTTTCCTACTCATTTAGTGACAGATAAATGCTTATTTTTAGAATC